GAAGGTGAAGCAGGCCATGATGCAGCTGTACGTCCTCAAGCTGCTGAAAATCCAGACCAAATACCTGGGGCGCCAGTGGAGGAAGAGCAACATGAAGACCATGTCTGCCATCTACCAGAAAGTGCGGCACCGCATGAACGACGACTGGGCTTACGGCAACGGTGGGTATTGCCCAGGAGGAACCTTTCTGCGCCCAAAGCAGAAATCAGCAATTTTTAAAAAATATTTTTCGACATCTTCTCTCTTATGACCCGTTTAGATCCCCTGAGCTTGTTTTGGTCAGCACTGGCAATTTCTTGCAGAAGCCATAAGGCAACATTCAGCACAGTCAGGAGGGAAAAGATTAATTTCACAAGAGTTGGATACGCTCAGCTCAAAATAAATCATCTTTATGGAGAAAATGGTTATTTCACATAGATACAGAGCTTGTAAAGACCAAGTTTCAAAATACTGATGTTGCGTGTTTAAATAATATGACTGAAATACTATGGTTACCACCTCCAACTCAACATTCTTTATAGCTTTTCAACATCCTTCATAGTTAGATTTGCCTAAAATTTAAGAATCTTTGGTTTCAGTAGATGCTGGCAATCTTGCCAGGTTTGAACTCTATGCATTGAACTAACTGTTCTTTATCTCTGTCTCAGACATTTGTGGAAATTTGCAGTCAAAGTGGTGCAGTCATTCTGCAAAAACGAAAAACAAGAGCTTAGTAATGGTACAGATTCCTTAATGCACAATGAAAAGCAGAAATAATTGCATTTCCATAGGAAGCTTTCTGCTACTGCTTAATTTGCCAGTGAGGCTAACATATTCAAATACCTTAAATTAAAATGCATGCATAATGTCATCTGGCCAGGGATAACGATTAAGAACAACTGACTGGCTAATACCCTGGTCAGTTCAGGCATGTGATTGCTGTAGATTCTTCATGGCCTTGTTCTGCTCAAACCTTGTCTGAATTATGTTTTCACATCACTGCCCCTGGCTGGGTTCTGCTTCTTCTTCAACACAGACATTGATGCGAGACCCTGGGATTTCCAAGCCGAGGAATGCACCCTACGAGCCAACATCGAAGCCTTCAACAGCCGGCGCTACGACAAGCCGCAGGACTCGGAGTTTGCGCCCGTGGACAACTGCTTGCAGAGCGTGCTGGGACAGCGGCTGGAGCTCCCCGAGGATTTCCACTACTCCTACGAGCTGTGGCTGGAGAGGGAGGTGTTTTCCCAGCCCATCCGCTGGGAAGAACTGCTACATTACCAGTGAAAGCAGCACTGTCACCCCTCAATACCGATGTGAGGTGCTGAGGAGAACCAAGACTATTTCTGTCCATCTTTAGCCTCTTTTCATCCGTCCAGGCACCTCTGAGGAGACAATTGCACATCTTTTTGGAGAGCTTTCCATTGACTTCTTGGAGGCCAAGCAATATATAGGGATCTGTACATTGCTTCTACTGCTGTATTGGTGGCAATCTCAAGAGAGCTTTGAGCTCAGCCAGTCTTCACGTTTGCACCAGGGCCTGCACTATCAGACTCTGGTCCTGCTGTTTAGTTCTATTCAGGCACGTAAGTTGGTTGTAGGAGCATCTCACCCGTGAAAGACTTTCACCTCTCCTAAATACCCCACATTGTGCCTGATTTCTTTTCCTGTATTCTGTTCTGGTTGCCCACTGAGATGCTTCCACATCCCACTGCCACGACCGAGATGGCCCAGTTCCCTGCTGAAGGCAAATACAAGAACCAGTTGGACTCTCTGCAACCATCTCAAGCAGAGTTTACAGGTTCATTAGCCCAAAGGAGACTAAATTACCTGGTCCCTAAATTACCTGGTGCTGCTGAGATCGTACAGCCCAGCTCACAGAGGCCTGTTTCCAAAACCGATGGGTTCTGCATCTTCACCAGGGAGATAAATTCATCTCCTTTTGCACCGCTACCCTTTTCTTCAGCACTACATTCACTTCACTTTCACATTACAGCAAAATGAGCAGCAAGATCTTCTGTGTTCAGAGCTGTAGAGGAGGCTGAAATAGAAACGTTGCCATGTTTCTCTTTGATACAAATTCACAATTACTGGCGTAGAAATGTCTACAAGTGCCATGTAAAGGTAATTTTTCCATAATCTATCAAGAAGCAAATGCAGGGGAATAAAAATGCAGCAGGATCATTTTTCTGAAGAATCATTATTGCAACATGTTAGGTTTCTGTTCACCTTGTTGCTCTTTAGCCCTTCCAACCCTGGGGGAGATGGAAAAAAGTCCCACTGGAAATAACCCTTCTGGTTTTTACACGCTTTTTGGGTTGGGCAGGGGGAAATCTCTCTGCTATGCCTCAAAACGGGGAGGAAAGAGCACTTCAGCTGGCATTTCACTGCCTGCATATGCACAAAACAGCAGCCAGTGCAGCCCATGCCTTTCAAATGAAAGGGGTGTTAAGGCCCATGCATTAACCTTAAGGTCCAAATATATGTTCCACACCTAGGAAAAGCCATGGTGGGTGGCCATGCCAGCTTGAAGGAAGACTGAAAACCCTGGGAAGAGCTGTGGGACAACCAGGGAACAAGTCTTGATCCTTACCTAGTGTGGGGAAAAGTCCCTTCCACTCAGCCCAGACCCATCCCAAGGGCTGTGCTGCAACAGCATGCTGCATTTTATGATATTTCCTTCAGTATTACAAAACAGGGCCTGCAAAATATGATCTTTCTCTACAGAATTTTATCAGCTCGGCACAGCAAAGGCCTTAGCACCAATTTTGGATTTATATTTTTGCCCCCCTCTCACAAAAACAGAAAGCAAGCATGCATTAATGGAGCGCGGGCAAAATTTTACTTCTCTTAAACAGTATTACTATGCATATATTCAAGCACGAGAGTGATAAGTTATGCCAGGATTTGTGCTTATTGCTGTGGAATTAAACTGAGAATGGCTCCTTCATATGGTTTTTAAGAGGCATTTTTTTGAAAAAAAGAAAATAGCATTAGCATGCCTGCTCGCCTTTTTAAATAAGCTTTTGTTCAAAATAAATCAGAACAACTTTTAAATGCATGCATTTTTTTTCTTCTTGTACCTTAATTTAAATGCTTCGTTTGAAAAAGCAAAACAGAACAAACCCCCCCAAAAAACAGCTTTATCCTCTCCCCATCTCTGTTCTCTCACTACTGGATAATGACTTTTGGATGTATTTTGGATGTTTTACGCTGGTATATCTGTAGAAAGCTGAACAGCCCAAAATAGCAGACTTATTGGGTACAGATGTATTCATAGTGTTAGAAAATGCAGTATTCATAGTGGAAATACAGTACTAAGATTACTATTTTCAGCCACGTCCTAAAGGAGAAAGTCCAGGGCTGGACGGACAGTCCTGGATTTTCTTGGCAATGTTTTGGCATCAGATCTTCCTAAGGAATTGCCTTTTTTCCCCATTTCCCCCCTCAAGCCAGAGTGCTGGCACCTTCAGAATTAAGTTGTGTAGCATCTCTGCAGCAGAAGGAAGAGCATCTGTTACCTTACTCCAAATGTTGATTCCCAGAACACTCAATTGCTCCTAGTTTCTAGTGTGAACTGCTCACGTTGAACAACTTCTCAGCTCACAGGTGGTTGCTGAAGGATTTGTTGTTCCTAGGTCTTCTTCAGCACCATGTGATCCTTGTTCCTGAAGAATATAAGGCAATTTACACTCTTGGCCATCTATATGTGGCTTTTGAACTAGCTAGCTAATTTCATGTAAATCTGGGGGAAGGATAAAGGTTTTCTAACACCAAGAGTACCCAAGGCTCTGTCCTGCAGCATGACAGGGTCCAAAAAAGTCCTCAGTAAGGATCAGAAATCCCTCTGATGGGCAAAAACACATAAGAAGATGCAACCCCAGCTCCAAACAGTTAATCTAGAGAGAAACCTGATGTGAGGTGAGAAAAAAAAAGTCTCAAAACACAAAATGATGCAACAGCAGTTAGATTTGGTGGTATTTCTTTCAATTCTCAGCTGACATTTTTAATCTCTGTTTGGAGGTGGTCCCCTGGCTTTGTACAAAAAGTGGACTTTCTCCCTGTGAAAAGGAGCATCACCTCTTTCCTCCCATGTATTTTCATAAAATTAATAAAATTAATGTCCTGGCTTGACACATGCCAGAACCAAGGGACCCTCTATTAATCAAATTGTAACTACAACTGCGTGACTTTACAAGCCTGGGTTTGTTATACTCTCAGTTTGCAGAAACCTCCCTTAATTATTTATCAGAAATCTTGGGAGTGCAAATAGCAGTGTGTTTTGCAGCCAGGTCCAGGCACCCTTATAAAAACCAACAGCTCCCTGCATGGATCCCCTTGATTTCAGATTTCAGGCACACTTGTTGCTAGCATTATTTCTTTTCAGCCTCAGCAGTTAGTAAAACGTGGTATTTTGCTGATAGTTTAGGTAAAATGAGATACTGATGATGATTTTTATTAACACAGCGTGATTTGCTAATTGCAAAGTCACCTTTCGCTTAATACAGTACAAATCAAATATGATTTTTTTTGTCGGTTTATTATTTATCTTTGGCTTGCGGCTCTAAGACTTCTTTCAGAATGTGTTTTTTTTCAGAAGCAAGGAAGCTCTTCGGTTCACAGCTCATCTTCTGCACCAGACTCGCTAGATGGCTGGGACTAGATGGCCTGGGTAACCGTATCCCTCCGGTTCCCCTGCCACCAAGCACAAAGAAATGCAGCTGCTCTATTATTGGGCCCAAGTAGAAGGCAGATAAGGTGCTCATTAGCGTCAGTGAAGTCTGATACTCCCCGATAACCAGAAAGCACCTTCTCCAACAGAGCAAAAACTTCTGGAGGTTGCTTGTGGTAATAGGAAATAGGGAAAAGTCTAATATTGTCCAGAGAAAATAATATACCCCTGTGAAACGAGAGGATGGAAAGTGCATGAGAATCACCACTGTCATTCACTATTTCGAGATCTTTTCCCAAAACACTCTTCCTTGGCAGTCTTCATCCCTGTGTCCCTAAGGAGCAGCTCTTCCCCCGGGCACCCCCAAAGTGTCCCCAGTCCTGGAATTTCCTACCTTTATCTGCACAGATATTACGAACTGGGGAGCCTCTGGACCTCTGTATGCAAGTGCCCCTCGTTGCCACTGCAATTTCCACTGTAAGGGGGAAAATTTACAAGTATTTAGCAAAACAGACTAACATAAGCTCTTCACAGGGTCCACATACCTTTTATCCACTGCATCATTTAAAAGCACCCAAAGCAAAGGGGGCTTAATAAACATTGTTATCCCATGGGCTAAAATAATTGATATTTGTAATAAATTCAACAATCCCTGGAGGTGACAGGAAAAGGAGAGGGAAAGATAGTTGAGTATTTTTGTGAATCAGACTTATAAGCCGGTACACAGGAGATGTAGACTGTATATAGACTGTACACAGGAGATGACATTACATACGAAACTTTATACCAGGGGAGAAAACAAAGGCTGGAGAGCAGGAGTGTCTGATAGGTGAATTAAAAGTAAATGCATCTAAGGAGGGTGACAGTACAAGTCCCGTTTCCTTAGGAAATCACACGCAAGCAAAACCCTTCCACGCTCCTACCTATAAACATTTTGAAGAAAAGCTTGAAAATATGATAAAGTGCAGGCTGGAGGCTTACGTGCAAGAAAGCAAATTCAGCTCTCACTCGTATTTTCACTCATGGTTTTAATGCCAGATTCATATCAGTTTGCAGAAGGGAGCACATAGCAGTGACAGCCTAATGCTGAGGGATGCAGAAGGAAAACCTGTCTGTTGCCCATCCTTAATTGAAAATACTATATATAGTTATATATAGTGTATATATACATATATTCTTTTTTTTTCTGTGCATTAGAAGCGTGGCTGTGCAAATATGATGCCTCTAAAAAATATATACATATATTCTTTTTTTTTTCTGTGCATTAGAAGCATGGCTGTGCAAATATGATGCCTCTAAAGGGGTGCAGGGCACTGAAACCAACCCTTCAGATGCCTCCTCTCCCCTCTGATGCCTCCACTTTTGCATTCAGGCTTCAGGCTTCCCCTGAATCTAAGAGATTTACCTTAATTTTAACTACATTAAGTAACTACTACTACTTAATTTTAACTGCATGCCACATTTTTGGAAATATCCAAACTCCATTAGCCAGAGTTTCGGGCTGAAACACAGTTCCTGTGTGAAACGGTGGCTGCTTTTTAGAATGTTTTTGTGACAAGGGTCAGATGGTTAAACGAAGGGAAAACGCCCATCTTTCACACCTCATGTTCTAGGGGAC